TGGCAATAGACTTCTCAGGAGAAAACATAAAGGCCAAAAGGAAGTAGAATGACATATTCAATGTGCTAAAGGAAAAAAAAAAAAAAAAACTTCCAACCAAGAATACTGTACCCAGAACAGCTTTCCCTCAAACATGAAAGGGAGATAAAGTCTTTTCCAAACAAACAAAAGCTGACAGAAGGAATTCATCACCACTAGACTCATCTTACAAGAAACGCTAAAAGTTATTCGGTCTGAAAAAAAAATGCTATCATGCAAAAGCAAAATATTTGAAGATATGAAACTCACCAGCTGAGCGTGGTGGCTCACACCTGTATTCCCAGCACTTTGGGAGGCCATGGGGGGAGGATGACCTGAGGTCAGGAGTTCAAGACCAGCCTGGCCAACGTGACGAAACCCCATCTCTACTAAAAATACAAAAATTAGCTGGAAGTGGTGGTGGGTGCCTGTAATCCCAGCTACTTGGGAAGCTGAGGCTGGAGAACCACTTGAACCCGGGAGGCAGAGGTTGCAGTGAGCCGAGATCACAACACTGCACTCTAGCCTGGGTGACAGAGTGAGACTCCATCTCAAAAAAAAAAAAAAAAAAAAAAAAAAAAACAGAAACTCACTGGTAAAAGTAAGTACATAGACAAATTAACAATACTCTAATATTGTCATTGTGTAATCTACTCATAAATCTAGAATTAAGACCAAAAGAAAAATCTGTAAAAAATAACTACTGCAACCTTTTAAGAGATAGGCAATATAAAAAGATGTAAATTGAAAAAGCAAAAAGTTAAAATGGGGGGTGGAATTAAAGTATAGAGTTTTTTAGTTTTTCCTTTCTTTCTGTTTTTTTCTGTGATAAAAGTTAAGTCATCATCTCTTTAAAATAACTTATGATATTTATAAGATAATTTTGTAAGCCTCATGGCAACCACAAAGCAAAAACCTACATTAAATACACCAAAAAGAAAGCTCAGTGAATTAAAATATATTACCAGAAAACATTACTTAACCATAAAGGAAGACACTAAGGAGGGAAGAAAGGAAAAGAGGAGTTAAAAAACAACCAGAAAACAAGTAACAAAATGACAGTAAGTCCTTACCTATCAATTATTATACTGAATGTTAATGGACTAAATACTCCAATTAAAATACATGAATGGGCTGGGTATGGTGGCTCACGACCATAATTCCAACAGTTTAGGAGGCCAAGACGGGGGATCAGAAACCCCGCCTCTACTAAAAACACAGAATTAGCCAGTGGCAGGCACCTGTAGTCCCAGCTACTCGGGAGGCTGAGGCAAGAGAATCACTTCAACCCAGGAGGTAGAGGTTGCAGTGAGTCAAGATCACGCCACTGCACTCCAGCCTGGTGACAGAGCAAGACTCTGTCTCAAAAAAAACAGGGTTCAAATATATGTTGCCTAAAGAAACTCACTTTACCTACAAAGACACACAAAGTCTGAAATGAAAGGATACAAAAAAGACATTCCATACAAATGGACTCCAAAATCTTCAAGTCAAAGATTATAAAAAGAGAAAAGAATGTTACTATATGATAATAAAAGGGCCAATTCAGCAAGAGGCTATAACAATTGTAAATATATATGCACTCAACACCAGAGCACCCATATATGTAAAGCAAACATTAACAGATATGAAGTCAGAGACAGACTTCAATACAATAATGTTAGGGGACTTTAACACCCTTCTCTCAGTAATGGACAGATTATCCAGACAGAAATCAATTTTTTAAAATCCAGGTTAAACTTTACACTAGACCCAATGGACCTAGCTAATATTTACAGAACATTTCATCCAAGTGATACGGAATACACATTGTTATCACCAGCACATGGAACATTTTCTAGGATAGATAATATTTTAGGTCACAAAACAAGTCTCAACAAATCTAAAAGTCAAAATTATATCAAATATCTTTTCTGACCACAATGGAATACAACTAGAAATTATTAACAAGAGGAACTGAAGAAACTATACAAACACATGGAAATTAAACATGTTCCTGAATGATCAATGGGCCCATGAAGAAATTAAGAAGGAAATTTTTTAATATTGTGAAACAAAAGAAATGGAAACAATAATAAAGTCTATGGGCTACAGTGTAAGTGGTACTAAGAGGGATGTTTATAGCAATAAATGTTTCAAAAAATAGAAAGAGTTCAAATAAACATCCTAATGGTGCACCTCAAGAAACTAAAAAAACAAGAGCAAATGAAACGCAGAATGAATAGAAAGAAAGTAATAATAAAGACAAGAGCCAAATGAAATTAAGAGACACTAAAAAACAATACAAAGGATAGACAAAACAAAAAGTCGAATTTTGAAAAGATGAGATTGGCAAACCTTTACTAAGAATAATTAAGAAAAAAAATAGAGAAAACTCAAAATGAAATTTGAAAAAGGAAACATAACAACTGATACCACAGAAATACAAGGGATCATTAGAGACTATTATGAACAAGTATATGCCAACAAAATGGAAAGCCTAGAAGAAATGTATAAATTCCCAGACACATACAATCTGCCTAAATTGCATTGAAAAGAAATAGAAAACCTGAACATACCAATAACAAATTGAAGCAGTAATAGGTCTCCCATCAAAGAAAAGCCCAGGACCAGATGAATTTACTGCTGAATTTTACCAAACATTTAAAGAAGAACTAATGCCAATTCTACTCAAACTATTCCAAAAAATTGAAGTGGAGAGAATATTTCCAAACTTATTATATGAGGCCAGCATTACCCTGATATCAAAACCAGACAAGGATACATCAAAAAAGAAAACTACAGGCCAATATCCCTGAAGAACATGGACACAAAAACTCTCAAATAAACACTAGCAAACTGAATCCAGCAACAAATTAAAAAGATCATTCACTATGATCAAATGAGATTAATTCCAGCAATACAAGAACGATTCAACAGACATGAATCAATAAATGTAATAAATCCCATTAACAGAATCTAGGAAAAAAACTATATGATCATTTCAAAAGATGCTGAAAAAGCATTTGACAAAATACAACATCCCTTTATGATAAAAACTCTCTATAAACTGTTAGAAGGAACATACCTCAAAATAATAAAGATCACATCTAAGAAACTTATAGCTAACATCATACTGAACTGAAAAAAATTGAAAGACTGTCCTCTAAGATCTAGAACAAGAAAAGAAAGCCCACTTTCACAAGTTTTGTTTAACACAGCACTGGAAGTCCTAGCAAGAACAATTAGGCAGAAGAGAGAAACAAAGGGCATCCAAATTGGTAAGGAAGAAGTCAAATTAGCCTTGTTCACAGATAACATAGTGTATTTAGAAAAACCTAAAGACTACCAAAAAACTGTTGAAACTAATAAACAAATTCAGAAAAGTTGCAAGATATAAAATCAACATAAAAAATTAATAGGATTTATATACGCCAACAGTGAACAATCTGAAAAAGAAATGAAGAAAACAAACCCATTTAGAAAGCTAAACAAAATATAAAATATCTAGGAATAAATTTAACCAAAGAAGTAAAAAAAAAAAAATTCTATAATGAAAACTATTTAAAAACTGATGAAAAAAACGGAAAAGAACACAAAAATGAAAAGATTTCCAATGCTCATGGGTTGGAAGAATTAATATGGTTAAAATGTCAATATTACCCAAAACAATCTACAAATGCAATGCAATCCCTATCAAAATACTAATGTCATCCCTCACAGAAATAGAAAAACAATTCTAAAATTCATATGAATCACAAAAGACCCCAAATAGACTGAGCAATCCTGAGCAAAAAGAATAAAGCTGAGGGTATCACACTACCTAACTTCAAAATACCTTATAAAGTCATAATAACCAAAACAGCCTGGCATTGGCATAAAAACAGACTGATAGGCCAATGGAACAGAATAGATATTAATATCTGCATTTATATCCAATTTATTTTCAACGAAAGTGCCAATAATATTCTTTGGGGAAAGGACAGTCCCTTCAGTAAATAGTGCTGGGAAAACTGGATAACCACATGCAGAAAAATAAAGCTAGATGCCTATCACTCACCATATACAAAAATCAAATCAAAATACAGACTTCAGTTTAAGACCTGAAACTGAAAACACTAGAAAACAAGAAAACAACATTTGGGAAATGCTTCAGAACATTGGTCTGGGCAAAGACTTTCTGGGTAACAGCTCAAAAGCATAGGCAACAAAAGCAAAACTAGACAAATGGGATTACATCAAGCTAAAAAGTATCTTCACTGCATAGGAGACAATCAGCAAAGTGAAGAGACAACCTACAGAATAGAAGAAAATATTTGCAAACTATCAATTTGACAAGGGATAAATTACCAAAATATATAAAGAACTCAATAGCAAAAAAGCAAATAAACCAATTTTAAAATGGGCAAAAGATCTGAGTAAACATTTCTCAAAAGAAGACATACAGATGGCCAATGAGTATTTGAAAGAATGTTCCACATCACTAATCATCAGGGAAATGCAAATCAAAACCACAGTGAGATGTCATCTCACCCCAGTTAAAACGGGTTTTAACAAAAAGACAAAAAAAAAAAAAAAATACTGGCGAGGATGCAGAAAAGGGGAACACTTATATACTGTTGGTGGAAATGGAAATTAGTATAGCCACTGTGGAAAACAGTATGACGATTCCTCAAAAAACTACAAATGGAACTACCGTGTGACCTAGCAATCCCACTATTGGGTATATGTCCAAAAGAAAGGAAATCAGTATATCAAGGAGATATCTCTATTCCCATGTTTGTTGTAGCACTGTTCATAATAGCCAAGATACAGAATCAAGCTAAATGTTCATCAACAGACAAATGGATGCAGAAAATATGGTACATATAGACAATAAAATATTATTCAGTCATTCAAAAAAGAATGAAACCCTGTCATTTGCAGTAAAATGATTATAACTGGAGGTCATTATATTTGGGAAATAAGCCAGGCACAGAAAGACAAATACTTCATATTCTCACTTGTATATGGTGATCTCATGAAGGTAGAGAGTTGATTGCTGGTTACCGGGTTACCAGAAGCTAGGAAGGAAAGATGAGAAGAGATTGGTTAATGGGTACAAAAATACAGTTAAAAGGAATAAGAGGCACTGTTTGATAGTACAACACGGTGACTATAGTTAACTATAATATATTGTACAGTTCAAAATAGCTAAGAGGGAAGAACTGGAATGTTCCCAACATAGAGAAGAGATAAATGTTCAAGGTTATGGATATCTCAATTACCCTAATTTCATCACACATTGCATGCATCTATCAAAACATTACATGTACTCCAAAAAATGTATGACTATTATATACCAGTAAAAAAAAAGTTCAAAAAAAGATTTTAGTGTCAAAGTTATGCTATTTTTATAAAATAAGTAGATAATATTCCCTCTTTTATATTGTCAGAAAGAGTTGTATATGTTTGGAATTATTTATTATTGAAATTATTGTTATGATTTTTGTGTAAAACCTCCTGCTGTAATCTGTTTGCTTGTTTGCTTGCTTTTTATGGAAAGATATTTAATTACAGTTTCCATTTGTTTGTCATAACACCATTGAGGTTTTCTATTTTTGAGTTGATTTCATTAATTTACATTTTCTGAAACTTTGCACATTTCATGTTTTCAAATTCATTACCAGGAAATTATTCATGACATCTTCATTATATTTTTAGTCTCTGCAGCATCTGTGATTATCTCCCCTTCTTCCACTACTAATATAGTTCATCTGTTTATAAGCAAAGTCCATCTTTAGTCAGAAGGAATTTCACTGCTGATTCCTTCTACTTCTCCTAAATCCACAGTACAACACAGAAAGTCCAGAGCCAGGGGACACACTAAAATCTTTGACTTTACAGATACCCGAGCAGCCTTAAGTATTCATGTATTGCTTATTAACCAAACCATAATGCCTATTAGCCACTTGGACAATCACCCAATTTTAAAACATCCAATATAAAATATGAGAAAATTTAACAAATTAATCACCAAAATAATCAAGAATAAACAGGACAAATTTGGAGAAATCTCCCACATTCTTAGGCAGGGAAACACGCACAAAAAAGAAAATAATAATGTAACAATTGTTGAATTTTATAGTAGTTTCGTGGCACATGTTCAAATTGGGAACATGGATTAGGCATGCCACAACTCAATACATAACATAGTATAATGTACACATTATAATGCATGTATAACCCATCATAAGATAATAACCACTAAACATATCTAAACACATCTACCATTCAAATTAAAATAGTTTTCATAAGATATCCCCCCAAAAAGGAATGTATTTAACTAAAATTATATAAGCAAGTCCAAATTTGTTATTCACCGTTTCACTGATTTTATTCCTTAGATTCATAGTATCTTTTGCTGGTCTCTGATTGCTGTACAAAGTCCCTCACTGTTTCTGCTGACAACTGATACCTCACTTACTCTCTAGGAGTGTTGCTGTGAATGATCAAAGCTCAGAACAAGTATGAAGCCATGTTTTCAGTGGGCAGAGGCAATGAGGAAATTCTCACTTTGGCTCTTTCTCTTATATTTGTGGATTTAAACTGTCATCCTACTAGAGTAGTAACTTCTAAGATTCAATCTTGAGCAAGAGCAGAAGGGGGCCATTTAGGCCTGGAGTCAAAGGAGATACTCTGCGGCCCTGCCCAGTGATTCCGAAACATTTACTCACAAGCACCCTAAAAGGATGTGGAAAAACTGCATCTCCTCTCATACATTTTGTAATTGGCATTTAAGATTTTTAAAGAAATTATTTAAGCTTAAATAGTTGCAAGTGATATAACTTCTCACACATTATAATACTGACATTTTAAATAAAACTGCTACTTCACTCTTTTAAATGTATCCAATGGAATCTAAATGCCATAGCAATTTGACACCCACCATCAAACACTTTTAAAAGACAAGGTACTTTTAAAGCTAAAAATTTCACAAAATTCTTTTTTCTTCTTGAACTTGTATTTATATTCTATCCTCCCACAGAATTTTATCCTAATATATATTTGTACTTGAAAGTATTTTATTGATTACCTCATCATATTCTTTTGCAATAAGTATATGTATATTATTTAAATTATTTCTGTTGCCATAAGTTTCCAAATGCTAAAAATTTACTTCTGATCCAAATTTGATTTATTCACTATTGATCAAAATAATACATGTAACTTATAAATCCTGACAAATATCAAATATAACATTGCAAATGTATCTCACAGATGGGACTTTCTCCAATTAGTTCATGAAGCTAAGAATGAATGTTACTTAATTATACAGAGTTCAGCATCAAAGCTACTTCTATTTCCTATTTTTATTTGTGAGCATTGACAACATCATTTCAAATAAATCAGTTGATAAAAATGAATAAACGTTTTCAAGAATGTCACTCAGTTCTTTGAACCCTTTTTTAAGTTATACGTTTGAAACATCACGTAGACATCTATCATCGAAAAAGTAAAAGTCTATTAGTTGACAAAAAGTTAGACACCACTTGATTTGGAAAATGATTGGTTATTCAGTCATTAAAGTCATTCACTTTCTTAACACTGGTTCCATATTTCAAATATCCTTCTGATGTCTTAGAGATTTGTATGCATCACCATAAAAGACAAAGTACTTTTAAAGCTAAAAATTTCACAAGATTCTTTTTCGTGATTTTTAGTAATGCACCTAAAACGTTCTGCATGGGTGAGAAACTTACTTTTCTTTTTCAAATAGGAGGAGGATAATTGGAAAAGGGAGAAGGGAAAGGCACATCAGGAGGATTCCTTGGTTACAGGCTGGTTCTCAGGCAAATTTTAGAAAAGAGTGTGTGGAAACTGAGACTCTAGAATGTATTCCCTTTAAGCTACCAGTAGCAATATACACTCAAGGTGTGCATGAGGATTACTGGTATCACGGTTTACTAGATATCTCTACTTTAGAAACCATGTGTAAGATAATAATCAGTTCAATCAATCTAATCCAATAACTATTTAATAACTGGCTACAGGTTGTAAAATAACTGGTTGTAAAAATGTAAAACAAAGAATAAGAAGCACATGATTTGGCCCCTCTCAGAGAGAGGTAGTCAAAAAGCTCTGGAAAGACAAATAGGAGTAGGGACACTAGATGATGACGCGAGGGTTTGAAATACAGCAGATGATGGAGCAAGTACTGAAGGCGTCTGTGTGTGCCAGGAAAGTCTGAAAATGAGGAAGGTGGAAGCTGGTATAGGTGAAAAAAAAAAAGATCTTTGATTTGAATGTGAAATATGGGATCAGGAGCAGTCTCCCCTCAAGAGGCTATAAAAATGGAGTATCTACAACAGAGAGCCAGACCTCAGTCAAGGAAAGAAAGTAGGGAGGTTGCGCCATTGCACTGTAGGCTAGGCAACAAGAGAAAAACTCCATCTCAAGAAAAAAAAGAAGAAGAAAAAGAAAGTAGGGAGGAAACAGGTGTTAAAAGGAGTCTGTTAACCACAAACCAAAAAAACTTTGCTGCTTTGCTTTGCTTGACTCCTTTGCACATTTATCTTTCTAAGGAGCACTTGCTTAGAAGAAAAATGGCTTGGTCAAGGCAGAATATTCTTAGGTTTTTCTGGCATAAAAGCCTTCTTGGGAGCTATGGCAGCAATTGTAAATGACATGATGCTGGAAATATCCTTGAGGTCCTTCAAGAAAGAGAGAAACAGAATGAGCAGAACAGGTGAGTCAGGCTGTAGGAATGTTACACCATGGTAGTGCTCACAGATAGCACCAGCACTAATGCAGCATCAAGATGCCAGGATTCCTGGAACCACAGGAAGGGAGAAAAGTCAGAATTTTAAGCTTCATCTATAGACCCAAAGGGAGAACAAGGAGGCTTCAGTAAATCCCTGGGGTGAGGTAACGATATCAGTGCTTTTGATGGAATTATTTGAAAAATGAAACATTTTATTCCCGTCACTAGTTGGATGTGTTTCACCAGTAAGCTTTTTTTAATCGACAAATAATAATTGTATATATCTGTGGGGTACAGTGTGATGTTTTGATATATGTGTAGATTGTAGAAAGATTAACTCAAGCTGATTAATATATCCATCACCTTCCCTAAATAAGCTCTTGACGTAGGTGCTAAAAGTGAAAATGTAACCAGTAGAAGCCCAGGCTCTGAGGCAGCTGCAGAGGAAGCCACCCAGATTTCACCCACACCCACCCTCCCCAGAAAGGATTCATGTGGCTGTAATTGGGGAAAAAAGAAATATTCTTAAAAGCTAATTTCTCTGTGGGATCAGGGCGCAGAATATGCAATTTAGAGATATAACTTTTGTATGGAGCTATGAAAATGGGAGGAAAACAGAATTGTTCAATAGAGGGCATTTTCTATTACTGGCATTGTATTAAATTGGGCTACACTGCCATCTGCAGGTCACTGTGAAACTGTGCGGTGACCAAACTTAAGATGCTGTATCCAAAAGTTAAATCAGGAAGAATGAACAAGCAGCACAGATAAACCTCATTACACTGTGTTCGAATTAACTGATTTCAGTTCTACATGGACATATTAAGTAAGCATCTCTGGAAACATCAATGAACATGTATAATCAATTGTTTGGTCTCAAGTGAATGTATATGTAATATTTTTCACAGAATCAGCTATTTTACCATCTTTGCCATCAGAATAATGGTAGAGTATAGGCTTTAAGCCAGGCTGCCTGAGTTTGAATCCCAACTTGACAACTAGAAGATCTTGGACAAGTTATGAAATTTTCTCTTGGTCCCATTTTCCTCATCTAAAAAATAAAGTTAATAATAATGCTTAATTCAAAGGATGAGTTTGAGAATCAAGCTAATTTGTACATGTAAATTGTTCAGAATAGTGCCTGGCACATTGTAAGTGATCAATAAATTTTAACTATTATTCTTCCAAGAAGCTGACCATAGGTTTGTTAAATACATGGGATAATAGGAGAAAAAAAAAAGGTGAATAGTCCCAATCCCCCTCACCATCACTCTTGCCCAGAAAAGAGGAATATGCTAGGAAGTTATGATTGGTCAGATC